GAACCAAAAAGTAAAGTTTAAACGTAATTAATATTATTAGATAGATTTATTCATACGATTAAGTTATAGTAAAGTGTTGAAGAGGATTCAGGACCAACAAGTTAAACTTAAAAATAATTAATGTTTTTCGATAAATTCACATGTTAAAGGCTGAAGAGGTTTTAGGAGTTAGGCCCAACAAGTTAAGTTTAAATATAATTAATGTTATTGAATAGATTCACATACACATGTTGAAGGTTTAGTAAAAAATTAAAGAGGTTTCAAAACCAATTAATAAAGTGTAAACATAATTAAATATTTACACATTAAACGTATAGTGAAAGGTTGCAGAGGTTGCAGGACTTAGACCTAACAAAAAAAGTTTAAATATGGATTGTTTTACGATTTAGGCGCAACATCTGTAGTTTAAATATAATTAATTAATATTATTAGATAGATTCATACGTTTAAAGTATAGCTATTATAACTTATAAGGTAAAGATTGAAGAGAATTTAGAACTTAGATGGCACAAGTTGAGTTTAAAAATAATTAATATTGTTATATCTTTATGTTCAATAATTTATATTCAATAAATAAAAATTTAATGCTATTAACATTATAAATTAGATTCCCATGTTAAAGGTATTGTAAAAGATTAAAGACATCTTAGTTACGATAACATTTTCTTTTTCCAAAGTTTTAATAACTTGTGTACCGTAATTATTCGCGTCATATTTATTTTCTAAGTGGGATGCCTGTCATGAGTATTACCTAATATATTATCTATTTTTGCTTACATATTTTGAGGATTTTTTATCAAATTTACTATCAAACTCACAACACCCAACTAAAGTAGCTTACATTTTTCTAGATGACTTAAAATATGACTGAAGCAGTTTAATTGAAATCTTGAAACTATTACTGAATTTGTGCTATACTGAGTCTATTTGAATCTTAGTATGCGTCGATAGTCACAAAATTCGCCAGCTTTAAATATATATTCATCAATGTGACTGATAGTGTCTACGGCCATAGACCATAAAGTTATGAAAAAAACGTAGCATTCCTTGAATCCTTGTTTTAGATGGTAACAACAACTATCGAGTCTAACAGTCTTTTTATCTCATTAAAAGACATTTTAGATTTTTCATGTTATATAAATAGATCTTAAGTAAGTCATAAAAAAAAGGCGACACAATATCAGCATCATTAAGATAGTATCATTGATATGGTATCACCGAAATGGTATCATTTAGATAGTATCATTGATGTGGTATTATTGAGATAGTAACACTGAGATGGTATCATTGAGATGCTATCATTGAGATGTTATCATGGAGATGGTATCATTGAGATGCTATCATTAAGACCGTATCATTGAGATGATATCATTGAGATGCTATCATTGAATGGTATCGTTTAGATGACATAATTTATTTGGTATTATTTCGATAGAAAAAGGAGACATTTTTACCAACTCCTCCAAAATCAGTTATTTTAAAATAGTATAAGAACTGAATATAGCAACTCAAATAATGGGAGCAATTACACAATATGGCAGCCTCATCTATTTCAACTTATGACTTCTCAAGTATTCCAAGTTGAAGTCCGAGTTCTTAATATTATTACTGTAAGTCCCTAATTTTAAATTTTTTGTTATTGAAAAAGTTATTTCAAAAATTGTTTTTAGGATATTCAAAATCCTTTCGATATAGTTATTATTTATACATAATCAAAATATATAAATATAATTATTGAGATCTATATAAAAATTTATTTTGTTGGAATATACAATGATTCCACTGTATACTAATTACTGATATTAGTAATCTGATCGGGTCAATATAGCAGATTGTGGAAACTGTTATGTTAATTTATCTGTATAATTCTTTATGTTTGACTCAATAAAGACATATTATTGGGTTTCTACCTCAAATATATTCAATATACTTATATTTACAAATAGTTTATTTGATAGTTTATTTAACTATTTGAAATATTGACACTTTCTTGACAGTCATTTGTTTCGTTTAATTCTGCTTAGTCAATGATGTTTAACTCTAACTAACATGAAACAACACTAATTACACAATTAGTTGTTGGACTTTTCGTACTCATATAAGAATTAATCTGTTCTCCCATTCAAACATAGGTTAATTAAGCGTTTCATTAACTATTAAATTAAATTTCATTGCATTGTATCAATTAACTGCTAAATTGCAATGCTTTGCATTGTATTAGTTAAAATAATTAAGATTATACGTAAATGTTATACTCTTAAATAAGTTATAATCGAACATAATTAAACTGGCATTTACATCTAGATGTTAATTAAGACAAAATTGAAATAAGCACCATATATATTGGATAAATTTACTTAATTAATGATTAAATTAAGGTTTAAGTTAAAGTATAGTTACTCAAAGTACAGTTTACTGTAAATTGTTATGGTTTAGCTATTTGAGTGGAACATTTTCTATAAAAGATTTAATACAAAGCACTTTATGTGGTGTTTCAAATTTTTTTTTAAAGACACTCAGCGTACAGTCAAGCATATAAAAATATATTCAGTGAACAGATTTGTTATATATAATCTTGCTAACAGATAATAGGTGGATAAAAAGTCATGCTAAGAATACGATTATTGCCTTTGATGACTTTTGAAGATGGAAGTACTCTATCGAATCTGTCTTG